AAACCAACTCCCAAAATTGTGAATTACTTGAAATGAGGAAAACAGAAATGTAACACGATCCCAAACTCCTGGAAGCGATGTTAATGTTGGATACGGATATAGATCTTTGACTGCTAGTTAGAAATCAGTAAGGGTACAATAGACTGGAGAGACGGCTGTAGACTAAATAGGCAGAAGATTGATGGAGGAAATCAATATATATGCGGGGATTGACGGTTGCAGGTTATGTATTCTTCCTGCGGTGTACCGTTTTACCCGCATTAACAAAGAATGCATTATAATACTGTTTAAGTGTGTTGAGTAAAGTTATTATGAGCGTGCTAACTGGAGATTTTTTAAGAAATTGCAAAATTATCAGTTATATAGTAGTTACCGTATAAGTTTTTATTGGTTTTCTTTAGATACCCTATAGAGAGGTTAAAAGGTCACGAGAAGGCGCAGCCTTCGAGTGACCTTTTAACCTCTCTATAGGCTATCTAGAGAAAACCAATAAAAAACTTATACGGTAAGTCACATGTACCATAGCACTTTCAGATTTCCTAATATGGCAGAGAGATGATGTATAAGTTGCAAATAAATTTCCTAATATGGTTTGTCACCTGACATAATTATAATTTCACGCGCTATACTCTGTGCATATATATTACATTTTATTGCACATTTTGTGCACTTGCAATCAAAAAGCGAAAATAGACAAACAGCGCAATGAGCATGGATCTGGATTTTCTTGAACTTCCGCAAAATTTTGAATGGGACAATTCTATCGATGATCAATCTCTCTCACCGTTAGGCCAGTTGATAGAGGACGAAGTAAACGTGTTTGATGGTATTGGGGATTTATCTCTTACTCAAACGGATTTTAATTTGACCCAGGAGCCGGTTACACCTGAAAATGTTATACAGCAGTTGGACCATTCTGACGATCGATTTGGAAAGTTTAACGATGACGACAATATGGAAAAACCTTCTAAAGTCTACCGAGAATAAATTAAAGATTTTGAATAAAATTTAATTGATTTTGTATGTAAGACATGCACCGCCTATAGGTTATGAAGGTTCCGCCCATGGGTTATGGTGTAGATAACCCATAGTTAAAACAATAGAAAACATGGCGGCCTATGGTACATGTAGTAGTTACCGTATAAGTTTTTATTGGTTTTCTTTAGATACCCTATAGAGAGGTTAAAAGGTCACGAGAAGGCGCAGCCTTCGAGTGACCTTTTAACCTCTCTATAGGCTATCTAGAGAAAACCAATAAAAAAACTTATACGGTAAGTCACATGTACCATAGCACTTTCAGATTTCCTAATATGGCAGAGAGATGATGTATAAGTTGCAAATAAATTTCCTAATATGGTTTGTCACCTGACATAATTATAATTTCACGCGCTATACACTGTGCATATATATTACATTTTATTGCACATTTTGTGCACTTGCAATCAAAAAGCGAAAATAGACAAACACAGCGCAATGAGCATGAATCTGGATTTTCTTGAACTTCCGCAAAATTTTGAATGGGACAATTCTATCGATGATCAATCTCTCTCACAGTTAGGCCAGTTGATAGAGGACGAAGTAAACGTGTTTGATGGTATTGGGGATTTATCTCTTACTCAAACGGATTTTAATTTGACCCAGGAGCCGGTTACACCTGGAAATGTTATACAGCAGTTGGACCATTCTGACGATCGATTTGGAAAGTTTAACGATGACGACAATATGGAAAAACCTTCTAAAGTCTACCGAGAATAAATTAAAGATTTTGAATAAAATTTAATTGATTTTGTATGTAAGACATGCACCGCCTATAGGTTATGAAGGCTCCGCCCATGGGTTATGGTGTAGATAACCCATAGTTAAAACAATAGAAAACATGGCGGCCTATGGTACATTGACTCGATATACATGTAAATATATATATAGTAATAAAATGCATTTGAAATACAGGAAGATCTTTATGTTATAGTTATTGAACAATTATTTTGGGTATCACGAGATATCCTGATGGGTGGTGACAAGTTCGCGCTAGTGAACGAGTTCACACATCAGAATGTCACATGATACCCAAAATAATTGTTCAATAAGCATGATAAGGAACTTGTATCATGTATTTTTCATATTTTTTAAATGTCAATCATTCGGTCAAATGACTTAAGTTTTTGATTTAATTCCACCCAGATTGGCAAGCTTTTTTATCATTTTACTCGCAATGCAGAGTTACAAGATGGACGTAATTAGCAAGAGTCCGCTGGACCTATTCGACATTATACAGACGCAGTGGATTTTTTTTTTAAGTTTCTCATTTATACGGATTTACCGCCTGAAAACAGATTTCGGTTTGCAGGAACACGTACACATTAGTATTTTTAATTTGAATTTTCTGGATTCAGGGATTTATCAGCCTATTTTGGGAAACGCCATTTTTAGGGAATTGGGAAAAAATTATCGGCTATTTGATGAAATTGGGAAAAATTAAAATCTTGCTAACATCATGTATTCAGGTGTAATTCATTTAACATTTTAGCATGAACTCTAATTTGGGCAACCAAACAGACAATTAAACATAATCCAACTTCATCATACAAGAGACATATACATGTATTATGTCTCTGATCATACAAGATCAATTATGATAATGAATAATAGACTAATACAACTAAATTCGATTCCAATGGGTATAAAGTATTTATACAACTTAGGGTAGTACATGTGTGTATGAGATACCAATTTTGGTGATTAGAATCTGTTTCTGGAGATTATAAACCTCCTACAAAAAATTACACTAAGTTTTCTCAAAGTCACCTTTTAATACGTAAAAATGCATTGAAAATATATTTTTCCATCAGAAATATATGCCTACAGTTCCTACCATTCACTCGTAGATCAATTCAGTAGGTGAAAATAATTTAATAAATCTATATTATTACACAATATCATCATTTTCAGAAAAACTGAGGAAATTCGGAATAAAAGTCGACGATGTTTTTCAATGTGTTATGACTGTAGCTTTGCTAAATGAGATAAATAGAGGAAAATTACAGACAATCTGACAATTTTACTGAGTTTTTTCCCAAGATAATTAAATATAAAAGCATTGTTCACCAATTGGGAAAAATACTGCCAAATTGGGGAAAATTGAACTCATTTTCCATTGGGAATGGGGCCGAATTTCGGCCCCTGAGAAGGTACTAATAAATCCCTGGGATTGGAAACCGTCAGACTACGAATCTGAGGCGAGTAACCAATTTGTTATAGTACTATATCAGAAACTGGAGTAAATGATTCGATAGAATTGCTATAGAGGAATGCGAGAAAACCAAGTTGATGTTTAATACGGCCACGGCGTTCTCTGTGAAGCTTACTTAACATTAAAGAGAAAATTTTGATCAATTTAACCAGATTCGTAGTAAGGGGGGGGGGGGGGTCTTCCTTTACTTTTGTCCGACATCAATATTTCACTGTTGATTTAATTTGGTATGGAAATTAACATTAACACACCCACCCACCAACACACACACTAGATAAGTTTGTTTGTTTGTTTGTTTTTTTCTTGTTTTTTTTTTTTAAGATTTGGTAGTATTTGTTTTTTCCTCTTTTTTGCATGTCTTTCATAGTCGTAAGATACTTTTTTGCTGAATTCTCATTTTTTCTGCCAACCGCATCCATGGTACAATAAGTCCTAATTGTTTTTACGTTGTGGACGATAGCACAATGACATCAGTTTTGTATCATGGATGGGGTGTTTTTTCTTTGAAGTTTTCTGTGCCGTAAATCTTGATACCGCTAGCGAGTGCGCATTGCTTGACCTATTCGACATTTTACAGTCGCTGTGAAAAAAATGAAGTTTCTCATTAATATGGATTTACCACCAGAAAACATAAATTTCAAGTTCTAGCGCGAACTCGTCACTACCCATCAGAATATCTTGCGATATCCCAAAATAATTTTTCAATAATTGTAACGTAACTGTTTTTAAGGGGACGACCATTTGAGGGGGGGGGGGGCTGGCAAAATTTTTTGAGTCAGATTATTAATTTTCATGCCAGTCACGGGCACTGGAAGTTAATGTAAATATTGAGTATGTGCATGTATAAAAAAGGAAGGGTAGGACACTCTTTTTGAGGAAAATTCAGGTTTGGGGTAATTCACTTGTGATTGTAACCGGAAGTAGAGTAGTCTAGCAAAATTCTTAGGCACTTGGAGGTGAAAAACGTCTATTTCTTCGAGTAAAATGCAATTGGACCGGAACGAAGCAAGATAAATATTGTAAGTAAAGTACATACAGAGGATTTATCGCGTCAGGCCGTTTAAAAAACACCCACAATACCCCGAATTTTCCTCAAAAGAGTGTCCTACCCTTCTTTTTTTTTTTTTTATATACATGCACATACTCAATAATTACATTAACTTCCAGTGCCCGTGATGCCAGTCAAGGACAAATTATTTTTTTTCAAGATGATCAAGGACAGATTATTTATTTTAAATTTCTTCTTCACTGAAAAAGGTTTGACAAGCTAAAAATAAAAAAAAAAAGAAAAGGAAAACGCCCGAACTGCAAAACTCTATTTGTGTGTGTGCGTGGGGGGAGGGAAGTTAAGGTATGTCACTTGTCAGCTTTTTAGAAAAGTTCAGTCAGAACCTTTTACTTCAAAATTATTTATTACAATTCAATTTTTATAACATATTTAAATTAAACAATGCAAATTATTCAACATTCAATTAAGTAGCACTAGTCAAGGACAGATTATTTATTTTCCTGCCGGTCGAGGCAGATTATTTATTTTCAACTTTTTCGAGGAGATTTAATATTTATTTCCGAAATCTGCCAACCCCGGCCCCGAATCAAACGTCGTCCCTTAAGTTTTCGAGGATAATAAAATGAAGTATGGATATATTAAACAAAACTTACATGACAGAATTTAAAAATGTAAATATAAGGTAAAGAAAAAAAAAATCACCAGGCAGCACTTAGTTTTCATATACAACTGATTACGTACCAATCTGACAGTCAATTAGTTGATCTGTCGGTGGCAGTCACAAGTATCCTATGAACTGTAAATCTGAGTCATGTATTCATGTATGGAAAGTGATTATACAACAATATATACAGTCATTAATATTGGTTCACCAAGTTTCCCAAAGTGAAAGTAAAATAAGAATTCCAGTTTCCCTATCCAACTTTTATTGAAGCACGAACCCGATGGCAAACCGATCCCGACAGATTCATAAAATTCCGAAAACGTTAAATGATCACGAGACTAGATTTAGACTCAAACATTAACATATAACAAGGACAAAACTGTCAATGTGATAGCAAACCGGGTTTACTTCTGTGTGAACAGTCACTCTCTACCATCGGCTCATTCGTTGGCTCGCATATATCACAGTGTTAAGCACAAGAAATAGTGTGTTTAAGAATGTGTACACATAGAATAGAAATGCATTCTAAATATATTCTGTATAACCAAAAGAAAAATAAAAAAATGTTTTTTAGGGAAAGGCCATTCCAAGTTTTTTTTTCTCTGTTTAGCGTCCACCCATCTTTCAGAAACCTACCTACCTATTTGCAAAAAACACACAAGCTAAAAAATATATAACACACATGCATGTAATATCATTTAACGTCATTCAAAGGATTTGATTTCATTTATCTATTTTTCTCGTAAAAAGATCTATTCTTTAGCAAAATGAAGGTATTAAATGCTTAAAATAAAAATATAAAATAATATTGATAAAATTTATTAATTTAATAAAATTGACAAATGCATAAAAAGTTTCAGAAATTTTATTGTGAAACTTCATTTGAAAAAAGATAACATGAATACTTTCTAAAATACATAATAGGGATATATAGAGGATATTCAATATTTTGTAGTCGGATATGGAATTTAATGTGAGGCGCCGTTTTGTGTTTATTGCCATTTAGTGATATCACCTATTCGAATAGGTGATATCACCTATTTGCATTTCTTACATCAATACATAATGAATGCTCCCTTCCTCAAGACTATCTAGATTTCCATTGGAACCTAGCAAATTCGGGCTGCCCCGTTTTTCCCTGTAATCGAATCCGAGACATTTCAAATACATTATGTTATCGACCCCTGTAAAGTTATATAAATTTCATAAATTATACCGAGCTGAGGTACAGCAGAGTGGCATACCTTTCTCTCTTTATTATGTAATGTGGGGCATTTTCCGTATGGAACAATTATTATGCGTTTTTCACGATTTTTCCTATAGTATACATTATAGATAAGTGTAATAAATATAATTTGTGAGCAAAACAAACTACAAATTCTACTGGGGTGCTTAAAACTAAATGCGAAGCTGTAATCCATTGTCTCCAAGAACGGTAAGTTAAAAAACGAAAGTGAAAGTAAATGAGAATTAAAGGCAATAGTCTTGGGAGCAGTTATTTCATAAATAATTTGAATAAGTGATATCACCTATTCAAAATGATAAAGTGATATCACCTATTCGAATAGGTGATGTCACCGTTTTGAATTGGTGATATCACCTATTTAATTTGAATAGGTGATCTCACCTTTTCAAATAAGTGATATCACCTTTTCAAAAGGAATAAGTGATATCACCTTTTTGAATGGGTGATATCACCTATTCGAATAAGTGATATCACCTATTCGAATAGTTGAAATCACATATTCAAATCAAATAGGTGATATCACTTATTCGAATAGGTGATATCACTAATTGAATAGATGATATCACCTATTCGAATAGGTTATATCACTTATTCAGAAGCTGAATAGGTGATATCACTTATTCGAATAGGTGATATCACCAATTGAATAGGTGATATCACCTATTTGAATAGGTGATATCACTTTTTGGCAGTAAATACCAAAACGGCGCCTCATAATTTAATTCACGAGTGGGACATGATTTTTTTTTTATATTTTTACGAGTGCGAAGCACTAGAAAAATATCAAAAAATCCTGTCTCACGAGTGAAATAAACTAAAAAAACATTGAATTTTCTGTTTATTACATTTTCTTTGATTTTCCCTTTGCCTCTGTCCTTTTTTAACACAGTCTAATAGGCTGTGACGTCAAAGTTGAACAGTTGAGATGTCATAGCTTAGCAGTTGTGAGATTGAAAACTTTGTAACATGGATTTTAGCGTCATGTTTGGAAAGAAATTGGCAGTTTTAGTCTCTATCAAGATGGTTTAGTTATTACCTCAATCTTTTTACAGGCAGAAATTATATGCTACATGTACTTACTTTCATATCTTTTCACACTGTGACAGAATATCACTTTGCTATACTTTCACACTGTGAGAGAATATCACTTTTATTCAATGAATAAATCAAAGTATATCACTTTCAAAAATGTAATAAATTTTCCAAAGATTACTTCTTTGTCAATTTAGTCAATTCTTCAAATCTAAGCTAAAACAGAAGTTTGATATATACTTAAAGGAAAATGAAACGCAGGGTAACATAGCATGCAGGGATTGTTTGACTCTCTGACCAAAATTTATGAAAACTGGTCAGAGGCTTATCTTGGTTTCTGTGCACTAAAATGGTGTTAAGAATCACTCAACCATGAAATGTATGACGTCATGTAGGGAAAGTCTTAAAAAGCTAAAACAAAAAAAAAAACAAAAAAAAAACAAACAAACAAACAAACAAAAAACAAAAACACGTGCATATTGATGATGACACGTTTGTCAACATCTCTTGTAATACCACTTGATGCACCGGAGGTATACACATCGTTTTTCGATAGTTACAGACAATTTGAATATCTTGCAATCATGGTACGGCTGATGGAAGTTCCATGGTGTCTGACTACTACATTGCCTAAGCAATAAAAGGTCACAACAGGTTGCTGTGGGGGAATTTTCCACCATAGAACCTCTTATCAGTCGTTAGAGAGGAACTGGAAGACTTTCCAACCAATCGTGACGATGAGGTTGGCGCGTAACAACGCTACGCCAGGATTGGGCTATTCATCCTGTGTAATCGTTACCTCACTACCACTGAAACCGCTATTAATATAGTAGGCAATCATAATCATTACATTCACCCATAAACTAAAAGAAACCGATTGCGCAATTTTGGTTTGTGAGCTCGTCGACTTTACGTCCGTGTACCTCTGACTCGCGTACACGTGCGTCGTATGTCTGATTTTTCAGCATGTTTACCCCCTGCCCAATGTAGCCAGATTTGTCAAGACTTTTTCGCCAACATTCACATTGAACCCATTCGACTGGTCTCCGTAAAGTCCTTTTTTTTCTTCAATCGAACATCTGAGGGATTAACTAAACTGTAGGGCTTGAGGCGTCAGAAAGCCCAAGCGACTCTCCACCAGCTAAAGGCTGCCTTGTCGGAGGGGGGGGGGGGAGAGGTGGTTGAATAATATTTTTTCAGAAAGACTAATGCACTGATGAACTCCATGCTGAGAATCAAAGCTGTGACAGATGCGCAAGGGATGCATAGATTTTGAGATTTTGATTTGCACTTATTGGGGGGCACCGTCATAAGAGATTCAATAACTCGTGAACTACCAGTCAAAATCAAATGAGATTTTTGTTCCTTGTTGACTAAAGATGAGTTTAAATGTAAGATTTAAATACTGAAAAATACTTCTGAAAAAAAAATAACATTAAATCTCTTCAAAAGTTTACCCTGCGTTTCCTTTTCCTTTCAGTATATATAGTACGTTTTCTTACTTACTTAAAAAATACTAGATTTTAAAGTGATCCTTTTTTACCTTGTTTTTTTTTTTTTTTTTTTTTTTTTCACTCCTGACATCTGGTATGTTTTTTTAATCAAACATTGTTTTAAAAAAAATACTCACAATATCTCATTCTAGTTTTGTAAGGCAGTTCGTTGTTAAAATTTTATATCATTTACGGAAAGTTTTTATATTTTCTTGACTTCAAAATATCCTTATTTGCTTACGTAATACATGTTTGTTTGTTTGTTTGTTTTTTTTAAATATATGTTTGATGATGAAAACTATTCTGTGAATTGACTTAAATGTCCAAATATGTCTGTGATTTAATAATTTCAACTACAAATGGTATCAAGAATTTTCTATAATTTATTTTGTAGTAAAGAAAGATGAAGTTCATTGATAATTTTAAAACAGTTTTGTTGCACTCCTGACTGCAGCAATATTTAAAATTAAAGCCACAAAACACAAAGAATTCACAAATTAACTTTTGGCAACATTAAGTTGTGAAGAAACTGCGCAATATCTATATTCTAATACCATATTAGATACAATCCGTGTGTCTGTGTGTGTGGGGGGGGGGGGGTCGCGATGATCTATTTTTCGCATCTTTTGCGACCATTTTTAACTCGCCAAATATAAAACACGCAGAAATTATGTCGGTTATTGTGTGCCATAAAAACATAACCATTTTTTTTTTTATTTAATCGTAAAAAAGAACTTACGCAAAATAAAAACTGTTTTATTAAAAAAAAATAATAAATGAATAAAATTTAATCGTAAAAAAGAACTTACGCAAAATAAAAACTGTACAAATCTAGCCTTTTTTTTTTGCAAAATTTCAAACACGCGAAAAAAATCGGATATATGTTACTTCATGGTTAAAAAGCATAAAATTGTTTAAACTTGGATTTATATCACGAATTATTCCTTAATAATGTCGTAAAACTAGCTTTAAACATATTAGGAAGATAAAGGTATATTTTATGGGACATTATACTTCATGGTACATGCAAACACAGTTAGCAATTGAGGTCAACCAGAAACATTCTACTTATCAATTTTTGTCTACATTTATTCAAATGTTATCACTGATATTTCTAACATTTTTGTTGCACTCCGTGAGACTTAAAAGTAGAATTGTAAAGCATAGATTACATCAGAGCATGGTTCCATTGTTTCAGTTAATCTTTGGTGTAATTATCTGAATTTTATTACAATTTTTTTCAGTTTGTTTTTAAAATTTCTTAAAAAATTAAAAGAAAACATAGAACACATCTGCATTGATGAAATTGAAAAAGGGACATATTTCAATAATAAAACTGATTATTGATAAAATAATACTTAATAGTATTGACAAATCTCTATGAAAATGTATTGCACTCCTGGCTCTGGAAATATGGATCTGAAACAAAGACAGATCCTTCAGGAGTACTGTG